CTTTCTTATTCTTTGCATGTTGCGGAAAATTTCAGGCAGAAGTATACTATGGTGGAAAGAGGTCAGGAGTGATAAATTAGGCTTGGGTTCTGGTTTCAGGTTTTTAATCTGGGGTACATTTTTATCTTCTGAGTCTTATTTTTCCCATCTGTAAGATTAAAAGTTTGAGTTAGATAATCTCTAAGGACCAAGGCCAGACCAAGACTTGGCATCCCTCATTGCCAAATGATTTGGCAGTTTTTCAAACTGATAATCTTCAAACAATTGTTCAACATGTATTTGCTACAGCCAAGGTCAATAAGGTCAATGCTGCAAGGATTTATTTTCCCCATTTAAGGTCCCTGTATATATTGGCAGCAATGAGATATATTTATATTTTCCCAGTTATACAAAAATTTCCTCCCTTCTGTTATCTGGCTCTCTATTTTTTATGAACCCTTGCCCTGTTTCAGCACACTTTATAGATCAGTGCTCATGCACTACCCTTCCGATATGTTCCCTTTGATTCTCTGTCATTTGCATGTGGCTAATTCAACCAGTGGTGCCATGTCTTCCCTCTAGTACCCTGCCTGTAATATCTTCACTCTTCCTGTCCCCTCCTTATCCAAATGCTCCAGTGCTGTTTTCTCCTATGGATAACTTTCCTTCAACTTCCCAAAACAGAATGAGGTGTTCCCAACTCTGTGCTTTCATATGCATTTTCATACCTCTGCAAAATTTATTGTATTAATGTTATTGATTTGTACATATTTCTTTGTTAACAAACTGTGAACTTGGGAAGGTTAAAATCCCTGTATTTGCTTTTGTGTCTCATGTCCCCAGCTTTGAAAGCCTTTATTAGTCGGCTAGTGCTAAAATGATGTTGCATTGCATAATAGACCACCTCAAAACTTAATAGTTTTACTAATAAATATGTTTCATTCATGCATCTGTGGGTCAGCTGGAAAGATGCTGCTTCAGTCTGCAGGTCTGTGGATTGTCTGGGCATTTCTAACTATATACACATTCTTTTTTAAAAAAAAAAAATTTTTACAATTTTACTAGGTTTGAAATAGACTTGACAGACAACAGTGTATAAATTTAAGGTGTACAAGGTGTTGATTTGATATATTTATATAATGCAAAATGATTACCACCATAGTATTAGTATCACATCACATAGCTACCATTTCTTTCTTGTGGTAAGAACATTTAAGATCCACTTTCTTAGCAACTTTTAAGTATATAATATAGTATTATTAACTATAATCTCTATGCTATACTTTAGATACTCCAAACTCATTCATCTTATAACTGAAAGTTTGTATCCTTTAACTGAAATCTCATTTCCCCCAAACCTAGGCCCTGATGATTACCATTCTAGTCTCTGCTTCTATGAGCTTGGCTTTTTAAAATTCCACATGTGAGATCATACAGTATTCGTCTTTCTTTGTCTGACTTATCTTACTTAGCATAATGCCCTCCAGTTACTTCTATATTGTCCTAAATGAAATGATGACCCTTTCTTCATGGCTGAATAATATTTTAGTATGTAACTATATCTATGTCTATGTCTGTATCTATGTCTTTGTCTACGTCTGTGTCTACGTCTATGTCTATGTCTGTGTCTGTCTTTGTCTATGTCTTCTATGTCTATGTCTATATGTCTATGTCTATGTATGTCTATAGCTATGTCTATGTATGTCTATGTCTTTGTCTATGTCTGTGTCTACGTCTATGTCTATATCATGTCTCTCTGAGATGCATTGGATGAGAGACAATGGTTTTACTTTTCTTGGCAATGGCAGAAGAACAAGTACTATTCAAGGCCCTACATAAGTCATAGCACTATATCACATTGTTCAAAACAAGACATGTGGCCAATTCCAAAGTCAAGAGGCATAAAAATGCACTCCTCTCACCATGAGGCCGTGAAAAGGATGAGGGTGCATACTATACTACCATGGTGTGAATAATTGAGGCTACACATTTAATCTACCATAGTGCTTGACAATATTATGCTTGCTGTTGAATGTTGTTGAATGAATGCATATGCATGAATAAATTTCAAAAGTACAGGTGACTCAATGAAGATATAATTTGATAAGTGGGGAAAGATCTGGGCAGAGTGCTAATCTGAGCTGTAAACTGTGCCACTGTCTGAGGCTGTTCATTGACTAATACAATAGAAGCCAAAAGATGTGACCCAGCCCTGCCCAATGTCACCATGAGGTCCCAGAAAACTTGTGTCTGCAGTGATTCATTCCTTAATCTAGACCTGAGCTCTGGTATAAAAGCAGCTTTCTGCATATCCTGAGAGCAACTGTTTCTATGGGAGGAAAGGAAAGAATTCCTCTTTCCTGTATAAAATCCCTGACACTGAGTACAGGAAGAGATTCCTTTTCCCCATTCCCCTCCTCACCCTCAAGAAAAATTCTCACTGGGATTAGTTAGCAAAAGATAATTCCTCTCTTTACTTAAGAAAACCTGATATGTATTTTAAACAAGCCCATAATTCTTTTCATTCTAAAATGGTTGGGAAGATTTCAGGTCAGTAAACAAACTGTGAGTTTGGATGGAGGGATAACCTCAGATAAAGGAGAGCATGCTAATAAGGTGAAATGGTTATGCAAGGCTTGAATATTTTACATGTTTATAGAAAGACCAGGAGAATCTCTGAAGCAAGGAGTCGTGCCACAGACATGTGAGGGTTAAAGTCCTCTGTGCTTTGCAAAAAGCTGGTGTTCTAAGAGAAAGAGGGCAGAAGGAGCAGAGAGATCTGAGAATTCAGGCAGAGTTAATCAGGAGGGAGCAGGCCAGGAAATCAGCTACCAGAGGAACCTGATCAAAGACAGAATAGGAGAGCTGAGGAGGAATACAAAGCTCCCTGAGCTCCCAGGCCTTCGGCCCCAGTTGGTGTGGGGAGGGAGGCAGGTGACAGAGAAGCAGCTGGGGCCAGAAGCCAAAGGAGGGTTATTTAGGAAAAAGCACTCTTTTTCCAGAGAATAAGAGGAGGTTGGAGGCCTTGACTTGGCGTGTGCAGAGGGGCTGGAAGAGACTCCACAGTCCCCATCCAGGCCTCTAAGTGCCTGCAGTTTAGAGAGGGGACAGGTGATGGGGAAGGCTAGGATGAGGTGTGTCACTTTAAAACCTGTGCCACTCAGAGTAACTGGACACAAATTGGGGCTTTTTCCTTCCCTGTTCATCGTTTGTATGTCAATATGCACTAATACTCTTAAAAGTCAAGACAAAGTGGAGAATGTAAAGCCAGAAAGACAAAAAATGAGGGGATATAATAAGCACCCCCAAATGTAAGTTCTCTTCTCTTTCGTCCAACCTTCCTTCTTTCTTATTTGGCAATTAAAAAAAAAAAATAGCCATAGTGCTACTTTGCTTTCCCTTAGGATTTTGTGAAAAGTAATTTATAAATTATTGCAAAGCACTTGGAAAGGGTACAGCACTTAATAACATTCCAAATCAGGCCAGGCACGGCAAATTTGCTCAGTGTTGTGGGGAATTTCTTCAGGTTTTCAAGTCCCAGTGAGAATGTGAAAAGCTCGATACTTTCCCCTTTATGTGAACTTTAAGCCAGCATGTGCATAAATAAGTAAAGTATGGCTATTTGACTTTTTCCAGACAGAGGGATGAGAAGTTCACCTACATACATTTTTATACCCTTACTGCGCCTCTCTCTCAGCCTCTATTTTTAAGTGTTTACTCTCAGTGGGAAACTAAAAACAAAAACAATGAAAAGTAAAAGGCAAAACTGCCTGAACAAACCTGTATATTAAATCTACTTACCTTTGCTTCTATTCATTTGTTAAAATAAATGAACAAACAAGCAGACAGACAGAAAGAATGGGTATCAGATAATTAGTCAGCATCCCGGTTCCAAAAGCGTAAGTCTGTTCAGTGCTGTTCCAGGCACCATGGAGCTGAATCAAGTGTGGAGCCAGACTCTTGCCTTCACAGAGCTTCCTCAGTGGTAAAGACAATAAATGCAAGTGCGATGGAATGAAAAATACAAAAAAAGTATGATTTGGCACTGACGTGTGTATGTGTGTAAGCAAATTTCTGACATCAGACAGACAGACATATAACTGTCAGTTATAGTAGCACAGAATAAAAGGCAAGGGATTCTCATATCAGGAAATTATTTCCAAAGCCATTTCAGCCACAATATTTGAAATATCGATGGATGGCCTCGATTATAGAGATGGGGATATGTGTGGCAGGTAACAATTTAAGTGAAAATGCCATAGCAAAACAAAAATTGGTAAGACTTTATACATGACTCATTTATTATTTATTTATTTTAGATTTTTTAAAATAGATTTTTGGAGAGAGAGGAAGAGAGAGGGAGAGAAAGAGAGAAACATCGATGTGAGAGGGAAACATTCATTGGCTGCTTCCTGCAGGCTTACTGGGGATCGAGCCTGCAGTCTGGGCATGGGCATGTGCCCTGACCTGGAATCAAACCAGCAACCTTTCTGTGCCCAGGACTACACCCAAGCAAGTGGGCCACACTGGCCAGGACATGACTCAGTTATTTTTAACAGTGGCCAGGCTTCAAGTGCATGATGCTTTCCCACATCAATACTAAAGCAGGTCTTAAGAAAATCTCGTAACTGCCTTTCTAGACTTCTTAAAATGCCAACTGAGGAAATATGGGTTGACTTAAAGAGATTTAAACTAAACATTCCTCCTTACCTAAAATTTGTCAACTGTTCCAATATATGGAGGTATACAATGAATAATAAATGTTAGAAATGAAGCTTAAAGTAATTTTAGACCCAGTCTCCTGCCTTTCCAGCTTATGTTGCCCATTCAGTGGCTTTGGCCCACTTGTTTTCTCTGGCTCACATAAATGTCCTCTTCCATCAACATTATCCAAACTTGCCCGTCTTTATGTCTGTGTCCTTGCCTTTTTGCTTATGCCAGTTCTTAGACCTGGGATGCTCTCCCTTCCCAGCCACAACCGAATCTCACAATATGTTCTTTAAGGACCAGCCCAGACAATAACCTCTCTGAATCCCTTTCTGATGCCTTCTTACCACCTACTCTTCTGGGCAAAAGCAAACATGCCCTCTTCTGAGGTCCCCAGAATTTTGAACACATTTCTATTATTTTACTTTCCAGATTGTTCTAGGCCTGTACAATTAGTTATGTACATGTTTTTGCCTAGTTCCTAGACTTGAGTTCTTTGAGGGCAGGCACATGGCATTTCCAGATTTGTACTCCCAAGCATAGTATAGTGTCTAGGAGTTAGCTGGGATTTAATAAACAATAAAGGACTGAAAAATGAAAAATATATTTTAAAATGAGGCATAGTCCAGAGAGGAAAAAACAGAGACAGTCATCTCAGATTAGTATTCATACCAGTTTGGAAATTCACTTTCTATTTTAATCTTTCTTTCTTCTTTGAAACTTCAAGAAAAAAAAAAAATAGAATCTTTCTAGGTCATAAGACTGGCAGAGTGGCTGTGAGTGCCTTGATGTTTCCTAGAAGAGATTTCATAGGAATGTACCTGTAAAAATATGGAAGAAAAAGCATGGGAAGATGATGTTTCCATTAAGCAAATGATAAAATATAAATCTGTATAATATACATCAATGTATATTCACATATGGAAAAATAAAAGCACAAAACCAATTTCAAACAAAATTTGCATCAACATTTAAAGTACAAATCAATTTTCATTTACTCGGGAGCCATTTAGATTGTTCATTCTATAGGTCTTCGGCTTCTTCACTTTATCCCTCCTGCTGTTTAAATGTTTATGATTTCATGGTTTCTTATATATTGGAATATATGATGCTAGGAAAAAAATGAAAATTTGAAATTAATCAGGGTTTTTATTTTTTCCTCAAAAGGATTTGGTCTGGACAAATATTTGGGGATTTAAATTTATTGAAAAATAGGATGTCCACATTTTAATCTCTTTGCCAATAATTAGCTATAGTTTAAATAATATTAAAGTACCATTTACTTCTGAAATTTTAAAGTTGAGAACTTGTATATTTCATATTGAATGTAGTTCCAGGTATAATGGAAATAATGCCTCTCTCATTTTTTTTTAAGTATTTAAAAATTTTTCAAATGTAATTCTTATTGGTCTGGTAAGATACTTGACCCCAGTAGCAATAACTTTGGGGGTTCACTGTGGTTCTGGCAAACTTCCAGGATCATACACAGTGATTACATATTGAGATTTTGCAGTCAGCCTTCTAATCTTGTATTTTATCATGCAGACATCCATTTTCCCTGCCGACATGGGTCATTCGGTTCCAACTTCTACTGCTTCTGTGCCATTGTTTGAGAAGAGGAACGTTGGTAGAGGTTAAAGATCCCTGACCACCCAAAGCTATTTCCCCCTGGGACTTCCTGCCCATCAGGATGCAGCCAGGAAGTCCCCTAGGCCCTAAATGGTCCAGGCCAATGGACCTCTCTTGTCCACTTCTCCTCCCAACAGAGGAATCCCTTTTTAGCTGGACAGAATTCTTTCTCTTTTGAGTTTCACAGAAACATATGCTTCCACCCATAACTCCCTTTCTCTCCTGGGCCTTAGTTTGGGGAAAGAAACGCCAAGAATCATTTTGCAGAAAGCTGCTTTGCTGCTCTCTACTCCACCACTTCCCTCACTGCAATAAGTGGACCGTCTCACCTTTTTGGGTAGAAAAAAGAAAAGATGAACATAGAGGGAAAAGTTTTATCTCAAAATACTATCTAGCTACAAGAAATAAAAGAGTTGATAAATGGAAAAATAAATTTATCTAGTTCTCAGAATCACTAATCATCAATTGCAGACTCCACCATAACCTGTATTTCCCTGAAAATGCAACAGTTTGGCTTCTATAAAAAATTAAGGAAACAAGAAACTGAAATTGTACCAATTTCAATACTTATATTTCTTTAAAATACAACCAATGATGTGTGAAATTATATAATTATTATATGAATATAATTTGTTAATTAATATTTTCACTAATAATTAATTGGAAAGTTCTTGCTTGGCAAATTTTTATATTACTTTTCACTCCCTAAGGCCACATATATCTCTCATATGATCAGGTTTCTGGCCAAAATTATGATGCTTGTCTTGGCAGATAGAGTTATGAACCTAATGATCATTTTTTCATTGTAATTGCTCCCCTTCATCAGGCACATTGGCCTTTGAAGGAAGGTTTTAAAAAAATTGTATTAAATTTATTAGGGTGACATTGGTTAATAAGATTATATAAGTTTCAAGTGAACAATTCTATAATATATCATCTATATATATGGCATTGGGTATTCCCCCCCCAAAGTAAAGTCTTCTTTCATCCCCATATATTTGACCCCCTTTACCTTCTTTTACTTCTTCCCCTACTTCCCAATCCCTCTTCTGTGCATCTACCTGAACAATTTGAAAATATTTATTCATGAAGATGTATGCACCCTATGTTCATTGCAGCATTATTCACAGTAGCCAAGACCTGGACACAACCAGTGTCTGTTGACAGAGGATTGGGTAAAGAAGACATGGTGCATATATACAATGGAATACTACTCATCCAAAAGAAAAGATGAAAGTGCCATTTGCAGTAACATGGATAGGTCTTGAGAGCATCATGCTAAGCAAAATAAATCAGATGGAAAAAGACAACAACCATATGATTTCACTTATGGGAGATATGAAACAGAAAGTTATTTTTTAAAAAGAAACAAAACACATCAGAATTTTGATACCTAAAAGAAAGGTTATAGTGAAAGTATCTGCTTTAAGATGAACTCAGAGAAGTGGGAGTGATCCCAACATTTTATAGATAAGGAAACTAAGCATGGAGAAAGTTAAATGATACATTTCTGAGTCAGGTAACTGGTGGGAGAAAGGGAAAAAGCCTTCTTATGTACTAATATCATTAACATTTTAATGTTTATAAAGCACTTCGTATGTTGTGCATTCTCCATTTAAACTTCTATGTTCTATGAGCCACCTCAGTAGCCTCGTACACCTACACCCCACTCCCATTCTGGGTCCTGCCTTTTTGATCTTGCTTCTGTCTAAAGTAATTCTGTTAACTTCGGTTCCAAAGTTAAGTGCTGCCATCTAGTCTCTGGTATTCCAGGACCTGTCATTCTTCTGGGTACTAGGGAGGCCAGTTTTGTAACAGCATCTCATACTGTTAGTCCTAGCCTCCAAAAGAACATGGTATTTCTAGAGGCAAGAAAGATGAGCCACCAATAAGAGAACAGCTCACTATATAATCAAAAGAGATCAAGAATGAATGAGAAGAAGCCTGAGATCAACTGCCCTAGTGGAAAGTCACAGATCCTCACTCAATTTCCGGATTTATACCAGTTCTAACACCAAAATCTTGTCAACCAAAAGAGAAGCCAGATCTTCATAAAGAAGGATCCTGAAACACTACAGCACGTATTCGGAAGTGTTTTCTTCATTCTTCCTTAAAGGGATCTATGGTCATTTACTCAAGTAGCCACACATGGGAAAAAGCCTGAGCTTGGTCTGTGAATGGCATGACATGTGAGTAAAAGCAGAAAATAAATTGCTATTGCATTATAGACGTTACTCATGAATATCCCATATCCTACAAGAGCCTCTGAGTTTGTTGACCTTCCTTCAGGATCATGCTTCTCCAGTTCATTCTGTATACTATGTCAGACAAGTCTCCCTAAACCCCATTTTCATCATGTCACTGTGCCCTTCAAGAATCTGTAATGGTCATTTAATGGCCTACCACATTAAGACTGCTTATTATTACAGGTCATTTTAACAAATACTGATTGAGTATAGTCACTGGACCAGAGACTGAAGACACAAAAATTAGTAAGAAGTAGTACTTGTCCTCATATTTTCACAGTCTTCCATGGAAAAATAGACTGATTGCCTCTCAGAAGAGGACCATGCTTTGCCAATATTTGCATCACCCAGCTCATAGAAGACAATTCTGCCTGAGAAAGTTGAGAAAGGCCTCAAAAGGAAGGCGACAATTAAACCCTGTCTTAAAGAATGTAAGAATAAATACGTTTTCTATGTAGAGTGTCATGTTGAGAGTGCTTTTAATGAAGAGATTACAATGTGACCATGGCTGCAGAGGAAAGGGAGTATGCTGAGATCCCGAGTGACTGGAGCAGCAGCTCTCACTTCATTGCAGACACACACGCGTGTTGGGTGGCAGTCCTTTGTAAGGTGTAATATAACTTGTTACTAATGATATTTACATGTTGAGGTTTGTGACTGCTTCACTTACTGAAATAAATTGGATAGGATTCAAAGCTCTCCCTCAAATAATGTCAGTACCTCATTCCATTCCGATATCTTTTGTGTAATCAAGACAGGTCTGGCCTTTGGCCCTGACTCCTGGGAAGTAGCCTCTAAATTCTTGGAAATTTCTGAGTGATAGTTCTCTCTTTGTTATTCATGGTGGGCCCTTCAGATCATATCTGGCAGACCATGCTAACAAAGTGACTCATGACTCCTGGTAGGCCCCTCAGGTCATGTGATGTCACCCCAACCTCTGGGGGCCTGGGTTGGCTGAAAACAGAGCTTACTTCATGGCAATCAATCAAACAATCATGTGAATAAAAACTCTGGGCACTGATGCCTTGGTGAGCTTTCCAGGTTGGCAATACTTATGTATTATCATGCACCCATGCCAGGACAATAGCACATCCTGAGGGCAATGAAAGCTGCACATTTGGGATCCTCCTTTTCTCCTTTGTATCTTTCCCTGTAATAAGCTGTCACTGTGAACATAATACGTTTTAGTGACTTTTGTAGGTCTTTCAAGTGAATTATCACACCTGGCAGTAGATTTGGGAACTCCCTGAATTTGCAGTTGATGTCAGAACTGAGGATTGCATGGAATCTTCTCTCCAGCTTTGTAGCTGGACCCTAACTCCTTGCAGTCAGTGTCAGAAGGATTGGGCAGACTTGGAATCTAGAAAACTCTACCTTTAACCCTGCAGTTTGGCAAACTCTGGGTACTTTCTTGATGGGAACAGAAAAGGGTAAAGTCAGAGTGGGCCAACTGATGAATATACATAATCCTGGGTCACACACCAGCACGCCATCCATCCTGTGTGTCCTGACAAAGAAGGAGGTGTGTGTGTGGATGTGGTAGAAGATGAGGTTACCAAAGTAGGTATTGTTTACACCAGTGATTCTTATTTTATATGGTATTATTTGAGTGGACAATCACATAGTCTGGTAAAAATCTGTAATCCAGAAAAATCCTCATAGTTTACTGCAAATAACACAGAGTTTGAAATGAGAGACCTATGTTGCTCTTTCCAGTTATGTGGCTTTTAGCTCCCTATTTAGTCACTGACTTTTAGTTTCTTTACATGTGGAATGAGAATAAAATAAGGCACAATTTAGAGAATTATAAAGGCAGGAGCCTCGTACGCCTACACCCCACTCCCATTCTGGGTACTGCCCTTTTGATCTTGCTTTTATCTAAAGTAATTCTGTTAACTTCGGTTCCAAAGTTAAGTGCTGCCATCTAGTCTCTGGTATTCCAGGGCCTGTCCTCCCTCTGGGTACTAGGGAGGCCAGTTTTGTAACAGCATCTCATAGTGTTAGTCCTAGCCTCCAAAAGATAGTCGTTACTGAGTTTTCAATGTGCCAATGCCCCTCATCATCAGCACATTATCACCCTCGACTTTTTTTTTTCTGGCATGGGTGATGACTTTGGTGGCTGATTAAAAACTGGTTATTTGAGAAATTAGATTGCATTTATTCAGCATCTTTCCAGAAAGGGAAAGAGAGAGAGACCTTGTACAGTCCACTTATTAGAAATGTTCTCTCTGTGGTT